AAGTAGTACTTGTCCCTTAGAATTTCTTGGTACACCCTGAAGAAACCCGGAAGCCAAACTATTTAGCGAGTTACTATAACTTTCCGCTTATCCTCATGGAAAGGGTAAATTTTAAAGTAATGTGCACGTCATTGGCATCAATGTAAAGTTACATGCGCAAAGGTTTCCAAATTTCGGTTGTTTTTCTTTAGTCTGTCATGGGGACTGATACTATTTGTGCACTGAATGCACGTGAATTTTCGTCATCTTAGCTGCCTTTGCATCAGAACCCTTAGTTTTTTTAATGGTGAATAGTTATTAACTAATTGCCAAGTGATCTATATTACGACTGTGGAGGTGTTTATGAAAATAGGCATCGCTTATGGCTCTTCGTTAAAATCAGAGATTGTTCGCACATTACTCTTGCTTTAGCGCTTTATTTACATTTCAGTGCTTATTGAATTGAGATTCCAACGCAGCGGAACTGCATTGAGCGCCTTACTTTTACTAAGAAGTATTTAGCTGTCGAAATCAAAATTTTAGGCTTGACTTCGCTTCAGGAGTCTGAGCAGTGCAAGCGCTGTTTCCTCGAAAAACTTTCCAATTCTATATCATTCATTGCTGGCCTACTCTATCAGGAGTTATCAGGAGAGAGAGAGGCGTTCGTAGTGTGGAAAACACATCTGCACCAAGGCCGCCTTTCTTGATGATAGCTTAAAGCTGACGAAACTGCAGAAAGAACAAAGTGTATATATCGACTTGAAAAACCGAGGCACTGGGAGAAGTGCAGAATCTGCCAAATGGATCTGCAGAGATGCCAAAATACGCAGATTCGGGGATTTTTCTCAGTGACGGGGTTAAACGATCAATCCCTATCGAGTCAATTCTACACTTCTCCCGTTCTGCAGTATACAGATTGACACGCATACTTTTTCTATACCAACTTCTTCATTGCTTTGAAGTTGTCACGTATGATTGCGGCCTAATACTGTACTCACCTCCGAAGGTGGTCCTTGCTAAGCAGGGTGAATAGGTCCGCAGCTGCACCGTCTTTTTACTCTCAAAATGTACAGGAACGGAGGCTGCAGGGCATGTTAGTGGCAACCGAGTGTCTTTCCATACTTAAATCGCGCTATCCTCGAGCCACTGCGCTTGCATTGAGATCAAGGTCCCGTAGCGAACACGTACTCAGCGGGAGAGAGCAATCAGAAGTGAGAGGGTGTTTGGCTATAGTTGGGCTGCGTCCACACTTTGCGTCAACGTGCTACAGCATTTCGAGCGTTAAGCCAGCACGGGGCAGCGTTGTTTCTCCGGCGCGAGCGACTAGGAAAGCATTGGTATTGTTCTGGCGTATGCCAGTGTACAGCAGCGTTCCGAGCACCTTGGAAAGTATAGATATCGATCTAGAGTTTCTAGCGTCCACCAGCGTACGCCAGCATGCAGCAGAGTTTCGAGCGACTAGGAAGGTATGGATATCGATCTGGCGTACGCCAGCGTTCGCGGGCAATTTAAGCCTGTGCAAAACTGCTCGTAAAAACACTGCTGACGTAAGGTAAACGGCAAAATCGCACTTGAGCATCCGGCACGATTACCCTGAAGACGCTGCGCGCGCTCATACGATCGCACAACCGCGAAGTATGAAAGCGCTCGTATTTTGCACAATCGAAAATCAGGCGCGCACCTGACGAATTTTAGAGGAAGCAATTAGATGTTTCAATTCGAAATGCTTTGAATGACTTGCACAATGTTGGCTATTATAATGTACACTTAATTAGCAAAATCACCCATTCAAGAGCGAAGTGAACCCTTTTGATCTCCAGTGTGTGTAATCACTTTTCAGATGTCAATCACTGTAAGGAATGTAGAAAGTCTCGCCATACTCAACCAACTTGATGGGGTCAAATCCAAAGCTGGCCAAAATGCTTCACCAGAACGGCTCCACTGAGTCAACCGGGAATTATCTGAACCAACCCGTTGAAAGTTGAAGGCATAAATCAAAGAGTACACCTCCTGCCACCGTTTCCCCAGCTAGAGTACTTTGTCAGAAGCGTTGCTTATAAAGGTGCCCTATGCTTCGCATTGCTGAAGGCGCACTGTATATATCACCGACAAAATGTCTACACTCTAATGGCATGTAACTGCAGGACCCGCAAAATGAACGTGCCAAATTGCTTGAATTGCTGCGACAATGATGAAGTGTACAGAGGCTGTTTCCAACTGCTCTCTACAGATCTTGAAGAAGCCATTTCGAGCGCAGAATGCTTAAGTTAAGAGGGTAGACTTTAGAGGAAATGTCCTCCACTTTGATGGGTGAGATGCCTTGACATGATGAGAAGGCGTTACTCCTCCTTACAGGACTTTACCATAGTTCAACGGAATTTAAAACGCCACATCATCAACATTATTATACAAGATTCGATGCTTTTGTGAGTATAGTGTGGTGATATTCCCATGTTGAGTTCATAGTAGGCAACCTAAGATGTTACTCCTGGTGATGATAGTTGACCACGATGCCCTAGTGCCAAACCGCGCCGCGACCGCCGCTCACAAGGCCGAACTGCGATTTTGCCGTTTACAGTCGCCCCTGCACGCTGGCATACGCTAGATCAATATCCATACTTCTCCAGTCACTGGCGTTCACTTGAAACGCTGCCTTCGTCTGCTGTACGCTCACGCAAAGTGTGAACGCGGCCTGAACGCAGCCTCAGGCGTAGGGCTAGCCATGCAGCAGCGCGGATGTATAGAGACGGCACCCGGTTATCTACCCCGCGGTATCGCGAAGTTTGACCGGCGAAAGTGGCATTCTCCCAACACACGGCAAGGACCACGATCCACAGCGGTGAGTGCACTGTTGGTCGAAAGGGATCCTGCGAGGTTGGGATTAGCCTCAGGTCAGTAGTGGAGCTATCCTCTATGAAATTCGTTCACCCGCCGCAAAGCTATTTCCACCTGTAGGCTCAAGCACTGGTCCTCACTTGCTTTGCATTTATCCCTGTTTCCTTTTCAACAGCATCTCTCGAGCATTCCTGCAAGGTGAACGGGCGAATGCATTTTCACCCAATTTTAGGATTCGGTTGGTGAAATTTGTCTTCAAACTCCTCACTTCCGTTTTCAAAATATGTTCCCAATCAGATTTTCTCAGTGAAACATGGTTCTTCGTACTTTTCTCAAGGGTATGAAGTAGTGAAAAGCCGTCACAAACCCAAAACGAACAGTGCCGATTTAACAGAGGCTTTTAACGAGTTTTTAATATTCTAGAGTGTAGGCTGTGCAAGAGCGTAACCAATGCAAATGGTGTAGTGGTTCTTACTGACATCTAGAACGGTCTGCCGTTCCCCAACCTCCAGTGACGGATGTTGAAATTTAACGGAAAAAGAAACACCTTAAATAATAACTGAATCATGTTTTAGACTTTGAAAGAGCTAACAGGGTGCTAGTTCTCCGTTCATGCTGAGCTAAAATTAGTAGATCGGCGTGTGATGGTGGCTGTTCAGAAATATGGCACATTATTTTGATAAAATCTGTCATACCACTTGATGTCGATAATGGTTCTAGTTTTCAGCGAATGGCATCAT